AATTTCAGAAGCAAAAAAGAAATTATGAGAGAATTACAAAAAATAAAAACCAACATCCAACAATGAGAGATGCACTCTCACCCTGGACTCCCAGGGGAGGGTCTAGGCCCTGCCCTGGATGAAATGACAGACTATGGACACCCCCATGGAGGGCCTCACCATCCCTGGGGAAATGAGGGGATATTGGGGGGCTGATGGGAGGGCATGGGAGGAGGGGAGGAAAAGGGATGTGAATTGAAATGTGAAGCAACCTTGTTTCTAATTTAAATTTAAATTTAAAAATAAAAATAAAAAAGTTAAAAAAAAAGAATTAAGAAGAGGGGTGTTCTGACTCTAACTTACTTGAACCATAAAACCTCATACTCTTTGTTTCTTCCCCTTCTTTTTGTATTTTTAAATGTCGAGATGAGTTTGCATCTGTATTAAATTCAATAGCAGAAATTTAAAAAAAAAAGAATCATGATAAGAATGATGGAAATGAAAGGATAACACCAATGAAATGCATATTAAAAAGGCCAATTCATTTTTAATATGCTATGAGGTTTCTGTTTTTCCAAAGAAATAAGATTACAGAAATATACATGGACAATTAAATCAAATAAAAAAAACACATATGAATAAATTAAATGTTGACAATGGTATCAGTTTCCCTGTTTCAAGGAATAATTTATGATCAACTGGAAAAATTATTCATGGAGGAAAACCTTCATTTCCACCTAAATGTTTGTTTTCCTCCTACATCATAAGCAAAGCAGGTGTGAAACAAGCAAATTATGAGTTACTAGATAGTTCTCTAGGGACTTCCTTTCAGGATGAGCTTCTGCCAACCCCGTAGGGAATTAATATTGAACCTGATTACATGCATTCAATGATTTAACTTTAGAAGATAGAAACTCATTAGTTATTAACTCATGAATTATTTCACACGATGCTGCTCAACCTTACTAATTTCATCTTTATCAAAGTATAAGTTAGGGTTCCACTGAACTATGATCATAACAACTTGTGGTCAAATCTGATATTTGTTTCTTTACTCTCAACAAAGTGACTCTTCTAATACAAGTAACTGCCTGTTTTATTCTCTTGTGAGGATAATTTATCTGGAATCTTGGAGAATAAACAGTGGAACAGGTTTTCCTTAATATTATAATTGAAGATTCAATTTTTTAAAGGATAAAGCAGTATCACAAAATACAATAAAATTAAAAGATTAAAATGATACAATTGTCTCTGAAAAATGTAATAGTCCTTGCCTACATAATAATTTTCCCAAGCCGGATGCTACTTTAAACAAAGGAATAATTAGTCATTCGATTTCCAACTTTAGAATTTTCTTATTTCATTGAAATGATAAATAAGAAGGAAGGATAAGATAGGACTGTAAAGAGAAATCAAATCATGATCATATATCCTCAGGGATATGTTGTCCTACACAGGGAAATATATATAAAAATAAGAGTAAAAGACTTAATACTAGAAGTATCTAACTTAGCAGGAATCAAAGAATAACCCATATTTCTGGAAAAGACAGTGAGAAAATATCACCACAGAGGAAATAAAATGAATGAAGGTTCATGATGAACATGTTCTTGGAAGATAAACAATGCATATAGACTTCGTGATTTTCACAAAACACAAGAATTAGAAATCTTTATGTGCATAGGCCAGAAAATAAATATGTTGAAATGCAGACATCAAGATTAATTAAGTTGACTTCTATACCAGAAGACTACTACTCCACCAGAGGCATGCTAGCTCCCAGCACTCAAAGCCCACACTTCTGGCAGAGGCTTCTTACTCCACTAGAGGACAGATGACATCCAGAACCCTAGAGATCAGACATCACACATGTAGCCAGACCTCCAGCCACTGATTTGGGTAGTAAGTCTTTACGGGACCAAAGGGCATCCAAACCATCAGAAGTTCAGCTCCCAACTCAGGCAGAGACAATCTATTGACTACAGACCCTTCTAGCAAGAAGAAAAGAGAGGAAACAGAAACCAAGGAAGAAGACACCCATCTAACAAAGACAAATCCAGAAACTGGCACTACAAATCCAGATGCCTAAAGGTCATTGTAAGAATACAATCAGCAACAAACAAGGTATTATGTCACCACTAGAGCTCAGCCATCCCATTACAACGACTATAAATACTCAACACTATTAACTCACAAGAAAACTACCTTAAAACTAACTTTATGAAGATGAAAGAGGAACTTAAGGAATGAATAATTTTTTTAAAAAGACATAAAAGGGAAACAAAAATTAGAGTAAATCAATATATTCTTTAAGGAATGTCAAGAAAACAATTTAATAAAATCAAACAGTTAAAGGAAGCAAATAAAAGTGTTCAACACCCGAAAATGGAGAGAGGAGAAATGAAGAAAACATAAACATGAACTGAGAGTTTCTGGAAATGAAAATCCCATACAAGCAAACAGAAAGCACAGATGAAAGAAATTTCAAAGAGTACAGAGATAGAAGAGAGAATCTCGGGCATTAAAGACATGATAGAAGATAGGTACATTGATCAAAGAAAATGTTAAATCTAAGAAATTCCTGACACAAAAATCTGGGACACTATGAAAAGATCAATCTTAATAATAATATAAGTAGAAGGATAAGAATCACAGATCAAAGGCCCAGAAAATATTTTTCATGAAGTCATGAAAGGAGATTTTCCTAACCTAAAGAAGGAGATAAGTATAAATACACAAGAAGCTGACAGAACACCCAATAAATTAGTTCACTTTCAATGTAATCCACCATATAAACAAACTGAAAGTAAGAAAACACACACACTTTAGATACTGAAAAAGCCTTTGACAAAATCCAACACCCTTTCATAATAACGATTTTGGAGAGATTAGGAACACAAGGGACATACTTCAACATAATACAGCCAAGTTACAGCAAACCTACAGCTAATATTAAAATAAATAGAAAGAAACTCAAAGCAATCTCAGTAAAATCAGGAAAAAGACAAGGTTGTTCAGCCTCTCCATATGTATTTAATATAGTACTTGAATTTCTTTCTAGGCAGATAAGAAAGCTAAAGGAAATCAAGGGGATATAGATTGGATAGGAAGATATCAAAGTACATTTATTTGTAAGTTATATGATAGTATACATAAGTGAGACCAAAGCTTCTATTAAGAAACGTCTACAATTGATAAATACTTTCTGAAAAGTGAATGAATACATTAACTGAAGGGAAGAGTAGGAGGAAGGGATAGAGGGGGAACTGCGATTGGTATGTAAAATAAAAAAAATGTTCAAAAACATAAAAAAGATTAACCAAAAAAAAATCAGTAGCCGTTCTATATGAAAATGATAAATGGGCAGAAAAAGAAATCAGGAAAAAAACACCTTGCACAATAGCTGTAAATGATATAAGATATCTTGGTGTAACTTTAAACAAGCAAATGAAAGTCCACTGAAGCAATAACTTAAAGTCTTTGAACAATTAAGATGGAGAAGATACCAGAAGATAGAAAGATTTCTCATGTTTGTCGATGAGTGTGATTAATGTAATACAATGTCCAGCTTACCAAAAACAATCTACTGATCCAATGCAATTCCTATTAAAATACCAACACAATTCATTAAAGACATTAAAAGAACAATACTGAACTTCATATGGAAAAACAAACAACCCAGGTTAGCTAAAACAGTCCTATACAACAAAAGAAATTCCAGAGGTATCACCATCCATGATTTCAAGGTGTACTACAGAGCTGTAATAATAAAAACTGCATAGTTTTGCCATAAAAACAGAGAAGTGGATTAACAGAATTTATTCAAAATCCTGAACATAAAGCCACACATATATGGTTGCCTGATTTTGAAAACAGATGTCAAGCTTATCCAATGGTAAAGGAAGCATCTTCAACAAATAGTACTGGTTCAACCAGAAATCGGCATAAAGAAGACTGCAAATAGGTCCATATGTAGCACCCTGAACAAAACTTAATTCAAAGGGGATCAAACACCTCAATATAAACCCCAGTACACTGAAGATTTCAGAAGAAAAAGAGGAAAATTGCCTTGAACCCACTGGCACAGGAGTAAACTTCAAAAAACAGAGCACCAATATTGCAGGCACTAAGATCAACAATTAACAAATCATCCCCAGCACTCAGGAGGAGGAGATAAGGCAAGTGAATCTCTGTGAGTTCAAGGCCAGCCTAGTATACAGAGGTAGTTTCAGGAAAGCTAGGGTTACACAAAGAAATCCTGCCTTGAAAAACTTTTTTAAAAGGCCATATTTCTGTATTTTATTGGTATCAGTTATCATGAATTAAAATTTATTTGAAAAAGTATTTTCATCCCTAATTTAATTTCTTCTCGTCTTGTAAATACTTGAAATAGTTCCCAAATTTTTATTGATTAGATTCCTTAGGAAAGATATGTCTCTTCCTATTTCATTTTTAAGTTTTAAGATTAGTAATCATGCATATTACAATTCAATATAAAACACATTTTAATAAAGTCAAGAAGAGAATGATGGGAGTGAAGGAAGGGCAATCAAAAAGATACTTTATGTTTAAAGACTAGCAGTTAGCATCTGAGTCATTCTTAGTAACCATCTACCTATCACCTGTCTATCTATTCATCTATCCATACACATCCACAGACCCGTGTTATGGGGAATCAATAAGATTTCAGTGATGACAAAAATTCATCATTGTATGAAGTCCAGGTGTAGTAATGTACAATTTCAAATGTGTGACGTGTTATTCACGAAACATGCTATGAGAAAGTAATTGTGAAGATCGCAAGCTAGAACATTAGTAGTGATCAAATGGCTAAGGATCACAGGACTCAGGACTGCCACAGGAAGAAGGTATGTTGTAACACATCCTTTACAGGGATTTTGGAATAGGTTAAAAATGACTTACAACATTTAAAAGACATGTGGAGAATGCATGGAATCTTTTCATTAAAACATTTCAAGGCGTTTTGGGATTTGCTTCCATGGATGGCAGTATCTACTCACCCACACTGGTGCAGCTTTCCCCATCCGTACCCAATGTCCAGCCTTCGTAACAGGAGCACTTGACCATGTGTTTGTGCTGCTCACACACTTGGCTGCACCTCTGGTGGGAGGCACAATAGTCCACGATTTCACAGGTTCTATTGTCTTTTCTGAGCTGGTGTCCTTCTGGGCAGGAACAGACAATTCCTCTTCCAGGAACCACAGAACAGTGGTTGCTACAGCCTCCATTGTTCAGCGAGCATTCATCTGTCAAGGGACAGATGTTCTCAGTCACATTGTTTTTCTCACTCCATATTACTCACTGACTGAATTCTCTACATCTGGAGTTAGAGTCAGACAATCCCCCACAGTCATTTGGATATGAGTACTGCTAAAAATGATGCAATGCCAGAATTTATTTCTAAATGATAAGAATTAGGAAGACAAGTTTTAATTTCTACTAAATTTGTAACATGGCTTGGGTTAGCTCGTTGATGCAAATTGTGTTCAGAACAGATCGGGTTAATGCACTGACGTAAATTGTGTTCCACATTTTTGTTAAAACTAGAAAATAAACCTCAACCTTGTAGAAGCTGTGTAAAATCAATTGTAGATGTCTTTCAAAAGAGAGACAGAAATTTGTTACTGGGTATTTAATGCTTATAAATAAACACATGTATATTCATATGCAATTATAATCATAATGAGGAGTAGTTTTCTTTCAACCTGTGCCCTATAAATTGTTTGTTATGATTAATTCAATAAGGTCATAAAAATATATCACATAATACACAACCAAGTTTATACTTGTGTTTTGGCACAAGTAATGAGCAACCATTATTGACCATATGAATAATACACATGATTGCTAAAGAAAGGGAATGCTTCCTGTATAGAATTTGTATTTACCTTTATATATATGCATTTATTGTTATTTTTAATCACAACATTTTAGGGGGACATAGAATATTTTGAGTTATGTTTATTAGCTTGATGTTGAAGAGGCCATTAAAAATACCTACTGAATAAAAATAAAGCTTAAAAATGGATATAACTTCTAAAATTTGGGCCAGCTTAGACAAATTTCAAAATGTTATGATCTTGATTAACAGTGAATTTTTATTTTTGTAGCTCCACTGTCACCTACTGTTCTCTTCAGTTTCTTACTGCTCCTAAGGGGTTAACAACACAGCAGCAAGGCCAAGAGCTTCTCTACATTACTTTTCAGTAAAAGTGTTTCTTTTTTGAGCTGGGTGTGAATGCCTATAAGCCCTGCATGGGGGACACTGAAGCAGGCAGATCTTTGTGGTCAAAATGTCAACCTGGTATTGAGGCTGGCCATGTCTGCAAAGAGAGACTGTATCTTAAAACAAAATAAAAGAACAAAAATCTAGTAAAATAGGGATTTAAAAACATATTTCTCAAAATTAATCTAATTGTGTGTCTTCAGAGAAGTGCTAAATGGAATATTATGTGATGACTGGCAAATTGTAGTAATATTTACATGAATAACATGTCTCCTTGGGTCTCTAGTATTTTATTTTTTATAGAAATGGGCTGAAATGCAGAATCCTGCATTTTAAAGTTTTCTATATGCTGTACCTCTTTTCCATACTATTCATCTTCATTAAAACATTTTCTGTTATATGAAAGGAAACATAATTTCCATTAACCATTTTTCTTTAAGAATCCTCTTCATGTTAGGTATTATTTTCAAAGGAAAAATGGATTGATTACCAAATATTCTTGTTATCCAGTAATCATAACCATTTGATAACTGTAGCCATTTTGAAGTATTTACCCTATTTTAGTTCAATTGACACTCTTTTTCAAGAGAATTATTGTCAAAAAAATACTATTGAACCAAGCAGGTACAAAAATAAAATAAGGAGAAAATTTTCACCATGTTCTTAGTTTATTTCAAATATAATTTTTATCTTATAACTAAGAATTTCTGATGCCATATGTGGACCTAAGTAACAGAGTTTAGGAGAAGAAAACTCACATTGAAATCTAAAACTGAGTGAACACGTAAAATATCAGTAGTCTCACAGCTGATCCATTATCAGTTCTTCTACTTTAACCTTGTTATCAACCCTGAAACCTCTTTTAAAATTTCCATACTGCACCAATACTGTGTTCCTGACGAAGGTCTGGTCTACTGTCTTTCGGTTTTCATAAACACTAATTATGCTTTAACCATGGTACATATTCAGAAGAAATCAATTCATACTCCAACATGCTAGAACACACAACTTGTTTCTTGTGGGACCAGAAACACAAAACAAAACAAAACAAAACAAAAAACAGAATACTGCTCTATAGGTCTAGTGAATCTCCATAGAATGAATGCAGACCCTGGTTTGACACAGTTCAGTGTGCAAAGAAAGTTTGTTGTGTTACTGAGTCTGCCTATGTTTATAAACAGTAAAACTGCTGACCCCTCTGACAGCCACCGCCCCTTGCCCCTCTGAGAACCCTCTGCCACCGAGAATAGTCTTCTCACTCTTTTCTGGTAGACCAAAAGCTTTCTCTTGGAATTGTACATATCCAGAGGGACAGCTTGCATTGGTCCCACTCTGTCCAGGGACCCCATGCTTTGTGCTTCTATGACTTCCTGTCAAAGGTGACTTCTGGCCGGAGACAGAGAGGTTGTTACGCTTGAAATCATTTTAAGTAATTCAAAAACCTGATAGGAAAAGAATCTCTTTACAAGGCTAGAAGATCACAGTCTTGGGCTCATTTTCTTGTGTGTAAAAATAGAAGACACTCTGGTTCTCATATGTGCTCTTGGTACTCATTGTCTGCATCCATCCCTGCCATGTCTTCTGAGGAGGCAGATAACAGCCATAAGTGTATGCAATGCTGCTGCCTCAGGACAAAACTGTCTTCTGTGTTTTCGGTCACGTACACATCTCTGCGTGTCAATTACTACAGCGGTAATACAAAACAAAGAGAGACCAATCTTGTCCCCTTTTCAGGCTAAAAGCACAGACATAAGTATTGTTTTAAAGCTGTAGTCACCTTAGATTCAAGGATGAGCCAAAGCTAAGAGGAGAAACACCCACTAGAAAAGTCAGAAAAAAATGTTATTTGTCAGCCGGGTGTTGGTGACGAATGCCTTTAACCCCAGCACTCGGGAAGCAGAGGCAGGCAGATCTCTGTGAGTTCTAGGCCACCCTGGTCTACAGAGCAGCCTCCAAAACAATACAGTGAAAGCCTGTCTCAAAAAACCAAAAAAAAAAAAAAAAAACCAAATGTTATTTGTCTTGAGTGAGAAGCTGCCTACTGGAATATAAGCGAACATATCTCTAACTCTTTAAACAGTGTAGACTTCTTCCATTTACTTTACAGACTTGAGCTAAGCCAGTGATGGGAATACTTCATCTGTCTTGGGTTTACCAGCATCATATATTTAAACCTAACATTCCTGTCAGTACTCTTATGACAGATGACTCCTTTGCTTCTCTTCCTTATGACAGATGCCTCCTATTCTTCCTTCTTTGGTTGTCTTAGATAAATCTCTCTACTTTCACCTCCACTTAACTCTTAGTTGGGATAATTAGATGTTAAGAGAAGGAAGCGAATGTAGAAAAGGAAAATTTACCACCTTTTCCATGTAGATTTTGTGTAGTAGTTTAATGAATTTGGATTTAGGGTTTAGTATGTATGACTATTTTGCTTATAGTTTAGTTTTACTATGAAAAGATAATTTTATAGAACTACAGAATCTTTGAAGGAAAGGTTGCTTTACTATATACATTTTACAACAGAGTGACTAACATTTTTCACAATGCACTGTACTACTGATGCTTGCTTGTTTAACAAACACAACTCCAAGGCCAAATGTAGCCTTTTACTCTATGGATCAGTCAATTTACATGATCAGTCAATTTACATTCTTTCCTAGTCATTATCATATATAGCTCTAGGGACTGCTCCTTTTTACCATTCTTTAGACTATTTACAGATGTTTCTTCCTTTAGTGTTTTTTAGCAAACATACCTTGTTAGTAAATCTCTGATCTCCTCAGGATGGGAAACAAATTTTCCTTCATATGCATTGTTTGACATGGGGAGATTGCTTTTCCAAGTTGTTTTAAAGTCTGTTGCATTGATTGTTTTAACTAGACATGCATACTTGGGAAACTATTCTACAAGGACTTCAAATCAGAGACAGCAGCATGGCAACTCAGGTAATACTCAGTCTGTCTCCTTATCTGGCTTCTCCCCCTTTTGCTGTAACAAGCAAACACACATTTTCTCTTGTAAGGTTTGAAGACTCCCAACATTCACACAGTGCTGGGGACCTGCACCCTACAGGACAGCAAATTCGCTCAGCTATGAAACTGTAGTCAGGAGTTTGAGTAGTAATATTTCCATAGCTCTGTGAGTGCTAAACACACAGTCTGGTTTTTGTCTGTTGTCTTCAGAAACAGAATCTGGATCATATTCATTGCATTTTATAAGACCCTTTGGTTACCAAAAATTATATGTGAGCTTCAATGTAAAAAGTCTCATTTGAAGGGAATAAACGGAATGAATGAGTGCAAAGATAATAAACAGATGTGAGTAAACTAAAAGGGCCTAATATCTGGAGAGAAGGAAATGGGGCAAAACAAGCAATACCGCAAAGGTCGCCTTCATCTGACCCATCTGGACAGTCCCTTCTCCCATTGCAGAGTTTCTCTGGCTGCAGGCACACCGAGGTATCATTTGCACAAGGGTACTTGGGTGGTGCACACAAGAAACTGTCACAATCTTCTTCATCAGACTGATCCTCACAGTCAACATCTCCATCACATACCCAGGCATTGTTGATACATCTCCCTTAAGGGAATGGAAAGAAAATGCATTTGAATTTTGTAATTAGATCACAGTAATGAATAGCCCATATCGTTTCTATCAGAGACAGAATTACTTGCTATTAGCAAGAAATCTATTTGCTGGTAGTTTGACAGTTTGTTTTCATGACAGCCTCAGAATACTCTTGTCCTGCTTATAGCTGCTTTTAGGGTCAGAGCACATATATTTTCTTTAGCTTCAAATTATCTTCTGTATTATGAAATAAAAAGGGATTATGTGAATAGTTCAAAGTGCATAACAACTTCAACAATAAAGATTAAAGGTATATGTTTTGTGTTTATATCAGTTACTTTCACAGTCCTAAATTTAGGCAAGCATTATTAGTTATGACTCAAGCTGAAATTTAGGCAGACGCTTAGTTTTAGGGAAAATGGCATTTTATTTATGTATGTAACCTTAACGCCACAACATTTTTTACCTATTTACCTTGAAAAGATTATGGAAGTTGTTTCATAAAAAAATGCCAGCCCTGGCTAGTCAACATAAGCACAAAAAAACACTGCTTGAAGAATTGCCAATCCTGACATCACATTTCTTTAGAGGCAAAGCAGCAAAAGCAGCGTGGACTGAGCACAAAAACAACTACGTTGAATGGTGCTTGGAGATTGGAGGACCTAGATATTGGTCCATGCAGGGGCAGATACCTGAATTTTGAAAAAAGATGCAAAATCAAATAAACAAAACACACAGGTGAGAGAATTTGAAATACCTATTGTTAAGAAAATTTGCCGTGCCGGGCGGTGGTGGCGCATGCCTTTAATCCCAGCACTTGGGAGGCAGAGGCAGGCAGATCTCTGTGAGTTCGAGGCCGGGTTGGACCGACAGCCTCCAAGACAGACCGACAGCCTCCAAAACAATACAGAGAAACCCTGTCTCGTAAAACAAAACAAAACAAAACAAAAAAACAAAACAAAAAATAAGAAAATTTGCCGTCTAGAGCTAGAAGAGTGAAACTTGAGTCTTCTCTCTTGTCATGTACAGAAATCAGTTTAGAACCAACGAAAAACTCAGTTATTAGGAGCTAGGTATGGTGTTGCATGCCTTTGATCCCAGCACTGGGGAGGCAGAGCCTGTGCATCTCTGGGAATTTAAGGTCATCCTGGTCTATGGAGTGAGTTCCAGGACGAGGGCTGTTACACAGAGAAACCCTGACTCAAAACAACAACAGGTAAAACCAAACAAAGCAAAACAAACAAATAGACAAACAAACAAAACAAAATAACCCTCGATGTTAGACCTGAAATTGAAACTTAAAAAAACTAGTTGGAAATACATTTTAGCCTATAGGTTTTTATATAGGACTCTGGTCACCTAGGAAACAAGACCAGTAAAAACTGATGAAACTGAAATACTTTTTTATTACAAAGGAAACTGCTAATCAATTGAAGAGGCAGCCTACAAAATAGAAAAACAAAACACAAAACAAATACTATATGTGTAACAGTGGATTAGTGTCTAACATATACAAATTGCTTTAACAAAAAAAACTAAACTCCAAAAAAACAACCGAATTAAAATGTGGGTCATTAAAGTGAGTGGAAGATTCTCACAAGAAAAAATAAAATAAAATGGAGAAGCAGCATCTAAAAAAGTGTTCACCATCCTTAGTAATTAGGTAACTTAAAACTTCTTGGAGATTTCATATTACGCTAGTCAGAATGACTAAGATTAAGAAAATTAATTGTGACAAATTCTTTTCTTAGATATGAGGGATGGGAGACCTCATGTATTGTTGGGAAGGTAAACTGCCACAGCTCTTAGAAATCAGTGTAGGGATTCCTCAAAATACAAGAAACAGATACACCATATGACCCACCTATACGATACCTAGGCATACACGCAAAAGACTATTTCCTATTTCAAAAACCCGTGATAACCCATATTAATATCTTCTCTATTCACAGTAACTAGGTGTTAGATACAACCTAAATATCCTTCATCTAACAAATAAATAATGAAAATGTGGTATCAATAGTCAATGGACTTTATTCAACTGTAAAGAAGAAAAGAAATTATGAAACCAGTAGGTAAATAGGCAGAACTAAAAATGCACTGAATGACGTAGGCCAGGCTGAGAAATACAAATGCTATAAATTATCACTCATAGATGGTTCTTTACATTTGTGGGTTTAGCTAGGCCTAAATAATCTCTTCATATATGCCAGAGGGTGTCAGGTGTGGGATGCCTCTCATAATGTCAGTAGATGTGCCCCATGGAAACATTAAATGATAAATGATAAGTTATTACTATTCTTCTTGATTGCTCACCAGAACTTGATGGAAATATGTTATTGGTGAAGACACCATGCATTCATCACAAGACATGGATAAAATAACTTGGTTCTGATTACAAAGCTTCCTCATGGTTAGGTAAATTGCTTGGTACTAGAAGGATCTACGTGATCAATTAGGGAAGATGGAACCCCATGAACTATAGCAATGAGTGATGTGGTAAGAAGATTGCCTGTGTGAGCAATAGTGGAATGAATGTTATTAATACAGTCAATTGCTTTGTGATTCAATTTAAGGTTCACTACACAGGAAAAAATGTATTTCTGGTTCTGCACATCTGATCAAGAACCAATGGTTGGGAGCTCGTAGCTTCTAGAAGGAAACCTATTATTATTATTTTGCTGAATGGAAATTACACCAAATTGTCCACTAAATTTATAACTCTGCACCTATAGTTAAAGGTAGATCACAGACCCAATCAGGGAGCTTTCGTTGTGTGTTAGATTGTGGTAATGTAGAAACTCACAGCTAGTCAGTGGACAGAGAACAAGTGATTACAGAGTGCTCTGCCACAAGTGGGAGAACTGTATCACCCCTACCTGAATTTACTGGGTCATTAAAACAAGAGTACAGAAATTTGGGACAGGTTGTGGAGATGGTTAATCTGGTGGCATCTGTGGGGAGGGGGTAAATGTGGTCAAAATACACTGTAAGAAAATCTTTCTCTCCTCTATTCTTCTCCCTACTCAGTCTTCCTGGTCCCTTTTGTCTTCCTCCCCTTCCTCTTCTCCCATTCTCTTTCTCCTAACTTCCTCTTCCCTCCCCGCTGTGCTCCCAATTTGCTCAGGAGATCTGAAAGAATTAATAAAAAGTGTCATATTAAAGAAAAATAGCAAACATTCTTAATTGTTTTGTAATTTCAATACACACCAATAAAACAGGTATAAATCTTTTATTTTTCTGATTTAAGAAAAAAATAATTGTTTGTTACAAGGCTTTCAAAGTCAACATATAGAACACACATTGGGCAATGGATGTTGCTGCCTGTATAATTCCGTTTTGTTGTAATTGTCAGTAGTGGCATTTTTCACTGCAAGTTATTTCTCTTTTGCATATTATGTTTGTTTTCTAGTTAATTATCATTTCTGGATTGCACATTTTTAATGAATAACATGAATTTTAAAATGTACCTAGAGATCAATAGTAGTTTTACTAAAATAGCAACATTTCATAAGATAGGGGCCTAAATAAATTTTAAAATGAAAATACTAGGTCACATATTTAGAAAACGGACTGTATTAAAAGTCTTAAAATTCATTTGTACAACTTTAATAATAATAGTTTGCACTGTGGTAAATGAAGTCAAATAAAAACCAGATGATGCCGGGGGTTGGTGGCGCACGCCTTTAATCCCAGCACTCAGGAGGCAGAGGCAGGCGGATCTCTGTGAGTTCGAGACCAGCCTGGACTACAGAGTGAGTTCCAGGACAGCCTCCAAAGCCACAGAGAAACCCTGTCTCGAAAAAAACAAAAAAACAAACAAAAAAAAAACCCCAGATGATTTGTGTTGAACTTGATTAAAATATTAAATGTTATTCTTTAACAATAATTACTGAAAAACTATTTAAAGTAAGTACAGACTACTACTTCACTATATGATTTGGTTTAAATCAGGACACATTGTAAACTTAATGACATGAATAAAATGAATACTGTAAATCCCAATTAAGGTACCTAGATAATAGAAAGAATAAGTCCGAGAATAGGAAATTACACTATCAAATATGAGCAGAAAAGTGGAACTTAAAATGAATCAAAGCTAAAAAAAAGCTGTATGAAATTAAGAATAAAAAATTAGCTAGATTTTTTAAAAAAAGATTTATTTATAATGTATACAGTGTTCTGTCTGCCTGTATGCCTGCAGGTCAGAAGAGGGCACCAGATCTCACTACAGATGGTTGTGGGCCAACATGTGGTAGCTGGTAATTGAACTCAGGACCTCTGGAAGAGCAGCTAGTTCTCTTAACCTCTGAACCATCTCTCCAGCCCCTAGATTTTTTTCAAATGTACAGAAATCAATAGTACAAATAATAGAATGAACATCAATTAAAATTTCTTCTAGAAAATGAAATATTGCAGTTAATCTGAATACAACTTTGTGGTATTTATGTGAAGACTATTAAAATAATAAAGAGGTATGGAAAACATGACAATTGGCATAAGCCATGAGTTTTTGCACATCACCTAAAACAAACAATGAAAGGTAGAAATAGACACCTGAAATTACACCAAGTGAGAAAGATCCTATACACGCGCGCACACACACACACACACACACACACACACACACACAAATTGAACATTAGTCAGTATTTAGAAAGAATAATTTTTTTCACTTCTAAAATATGGGTAGGATTTAAAGGCATTATGTTAAAGGAAATGAATCATATACATAAATATAATACCATATGTTTTTTCTCATATGTGAGTGTGAAACAAACAAACAAAAGGTCTACCAAAAAGCAAAACAGCCATTAATAGACGTGAAAGGAGAAGGGGGGTAATTGATCAGTGCCCATTTGATGCATGTGTTGAACCAGCATACCGAGCCTCATTAGTATGTATAAATCATAAATTTCAATAAAAGCTATAAAAGTATTTCATTGGCATTTTTATATAAAATAGAGTTTTGTCAAATTGACATGTGATCAATAATCTAACATGCAAAACAT